TACACCTCCATGGCCCGTGAACCGCCCGTACGGGTTACGGGTCGGCCAGCTATCCCGATTTTCACGGGTCTGGCCGCCCGTCCGTCTTGACACCTCTATTCCAAAGCTATATATTATAAAATGATGACCTTAAAAAGGGTGGTTTTTGAGTGTATGCATTTGCTGACAAATGTTGTGGAGTTGGAAGAAGACACGTAGACGATGGATTGGTGGTAACAAATATTAGTGGAACAAGTTGGGATGCGGACTTGAATGATGGGATGATTAAAACAACCTCACACATCCGAAGAAGAAAAAATGAAAAGGATACAGGACACAGTCAACAAATTAACACGTGGCGGATATTCCTCGTTCTGATTATACGATGTCGTTTCATTGCAACTGCCAAACGCGCCTGTTTAGATCCATTAAAATTCAGAAAACTCATTTTCAATTGAAATTATGTGGGCATGCATACAGTGACATGGTTGAAAAATGTCAGGACAATGCAATTTTGTAATTGGAGGAGAATGAATGATAGGCTAAATTTTGACTTTTCCACATCCTATTTTTTTGGTTTCATTTTACATTCCATATTTACCCCCAAATATGGGGTGTTCAAGGGATTTGGAGGAGAATGAATGATAGGCTAAATTCGTAATTTCAACTCAAAAATTGAGGATGGAATAGGTAAAAAGAAATTTCAACAAGTGCCCTGTCTGAATCAGGATTTCTACCGTTTGTCGTTTCTTGCAGGAATTTTTAATAATAAAATACTATTGAGAAATTTACAAACTCATTAAAATTTTATTTTAATAAGAATCAAACATAGGCTTAGTAATGAACTGCGAGAGTGTGGAGGAAGATATGTAGGAGCCATTGCAAAGTAGACTTCGAGTGAGAATTTGGATTGGATTAAAAGGTGAAAGGAAGGAGGTTGCGATTCTTATATTTCATTATCTTTTTTTATATTTAAAGTTGACTATAAATTTGTGGAGATTAAAATAATAATTTTAGTAGATTTTGATAAAATTTAATAAAATATGTGTCATTAAAATTAATTGTTGACTTTAACGTAAATTAAAATTAAAATTTTAATCAACACAAAATAAGGGGATAGTTTTAATATCACAAAATAATTTTTCTTTTTCTAAGAACAGTGAATAATGACAAAAAAAAAAAAAGATGTTGAAAAGTTCAATGACTAAAAACAAAAGTGGGGGCTAGAATTGTAGAAGTGGTCCAACGATTCCGTGTAAAAAGTTTCAAGTTCAACGTTTGGACTTTGGAAGAGCAAACTCGTGGACAAATGACATGTGTCTTGCGTGTGCCAAGGTAATTTTGAACTACTTTCTGCTGTTGACTTTGACTCTTTATTACATTCCCACTGTACTCAAAGTTTGGATTGTAGGCGGCTGTTTCTCGGCAAATTATGCCCTGATTTGACAACAACTGTTTCAAAATTCTTTAATTTATGTATCATTTTCAATCACATGTTACCATAAAATATTCTGCACATAAACTCAAAATCGTTTTCTATATTTTTTAACCACACATTCTGAAAAAATTCACAATTCAAAACTTTATTTTTGTCAAATGATGAATGACAAAGTGGGATGAACTAGTCTCTTTTATCATCCCACTCAGTCACGATGACAAAATTCTTCGCCCCTTGCCCACTCCACATAAAATTGGTAATTAGGTTGGGATCCTATTATCCATTCCATTCCCACTCCATCGGAGATTTTATGTGAGATCCAGACAAGATTGGACTTCCAATCCCTATTTATAGTCTCGTTTTATATATTTTTAAAATAAATATTATTAAATAGGTAATTGATTTTACATTTTTACGATGATTTTTTAATGTTTAGCTCATTATATATGTTTTATGTTTCATTAAATACTAATTTTATATAACTATAATTATTAAAAATAATTTTAGTACTTTGAGCAAGATGGGACAGGGACGAAGGCAGGATCGTCCCTGACTCGGGGAAAGGATTAACCCGTATTTACCCTCATTAAATTTTAATACATTTTTCCGTCTCGTCTTATTAACCACACATTCTCTTAATAAAATAATATTACACATATAAATTCAAAAATTCTCTTTACTTTTTAACCACATATTCTCCAACAAACATTACTTCAAAATCTTTTTTTTTTTTCAAAAATGGAACTCAAACAAGGGCTTAATCTCGTTCTCCGATTATCATGCCTCGTTGACGTCTATAGACCTTCGTTGTTCCAACTCATATGTGACGGAATCACCTCATTGAATAGTGAAAGGGGAATCATGGTCAACGTTAAAATTCTCTCTCTGTCTTGAATTTTTATTTTTTTTCATTTTAGAATTTTCAATTTAAATTATATTTTATAACTAAATAATAATACAAAAAAGTAATTAAATAGAGATATAAACATGATTTTTTAATCCTCGTCCCATCCTGCCCCCCC